CCTACCTCCATATAAATAAATAAACAAACAAGTAATTGAAACAGGGCTCAGGAATAGGATACATTTTTTTTCTTGCTTTCCCAGGCATCCATCAGCCGCCAGAGGGAGCTGTGTCCTTAGCCAACACCCAGGCCTTTGCAGGGCCTCTATCCTCCTCTCCTGTCTCCTGGAGAGTGTGGGCCCCTAGCCACCCAGTAGGTGTCCCTGTCAGGGTCACGACCCCTGCACACTGTGGGCCTTTGGTACTCAGAGCCCACTGCTATGGCATACAGGGGTGGGAGTCTATGCTGGACAGCCTCAGACTGGAGGGCGAAGAAGGGTGTGTCTGTTGTGGGTGTCGAGGGCTAGAGAGAACTCAGCCCAGAACCATCCATCATCCGGATGGAGGACTGGTCCTCAACACAGCAACCTCCAGCCCCGACTCTGAGCAAGGGCTGCATGGCCTTGGCTTGCAGGGGCATGTGGGCCCTGTGTGTTGCTCCACCCTGCCCTGTAATTGCCTGTTTATCCGAGTCTCCCCTCTAGAGGTGAACTCCCCAGGGGCAGAGCTGGCCCAGTCTGCCCCTTCTTGCTGAGTCTGGTGTGATGAGCAAAGGTTGGGGAACAGAGGGCTGCCCCACCTTGAACCCAGTACTGCCCTGTGACTCTGAAGCTGACCTTTCTGTCCATTTCCCACGGGTCTCTTGATGGACTGGAGCCTAACCAGGTCTGGCAATGCATTGTCCAGGAAGATCCTCACCTTGCTGTTTCACTGACTTGGCCTCGCGGCTCTGCTCCCCGTCTAGCTGATGGAGAAGCTGGCCTGCTTCTCATCAGTGTGAAACCGCCTCCTTCTGCAGGACTGAGACCCCAACCCTGGTGGTCTCCCAGGCTGACCTCCAGGAGTTTGGCGGTGGGGGAGGCTGGGCCAGGGTTGGATGCGCTAGGCTGATTGCGGTCCACCTCCGGGAGGTGCTGTGCTGACAGGTCCCTGGTTCATGCGAGGAGGCCCTGGGGAGCTCATTACGGTGCCTTACATCCCCTGCGGTCCCCACTGACTGGTCCCTGTTTGTTGTCACCCTCTTGTTCTGTCCTGTTGCTCCGCAGAGCCTCCCTGACCTTCGTCTGTTTTTTCCCCTGGAAGAGCAGTAGGGGGAGTTGTGCCCCGAACCCCCGCCCACCTCTACTCTCCCAGTGCTGAGTACTAGATGCAGATGTATCTTAACTGGGGCACTCCTGCCCTTCCTCCAGGAAGCTGTTCCTTTCTTACAAGACCTCAGGGTAGTCTGGGGCTGATGGGCACAGGATTCCAAGCCTGCCAGGCTGAGTCTGTTCTGGTTGCTGGTCACTGATATTGGCTTCCGTGTCAACCTGGCTTTCCAGGCCCCATAGACAAATGCTGGGCATTTAGGAGTGCCCTTGCTTATACAGCTTCTCTCCCACCCTTCCCTCGTGCGTCCCACCCAATCATATGCTCCACAGGGCTCCCTCTCATGTGGGTCAGTATGGCCTCCTTTAGCTCAGTAGTTTGTTCCCTAAGTCAGACGGTGGGTCTGAGGTGACCAGGCCCCGTGAACCCACAAGTAGGATATGGTTAGGTTAAATACTTGTCACGGGGCTCAGCTTAGGCCAGATCCAAGGTTCTTTGGGAGGTGGCCTCGCATGGGCCTGCTGCCTGCTCGTAGCTGCCCTGGGTAGCCTGTCAGAGTCCCGGCTGGCAGTAAAGACAGAAGTGGACATCATGCAAAGCAAGAGTATTGGGGCAGCGAGTGAGGCAGGGGTTGTCAGTCCTGGGCAGTGCTGGGCAGAGTAGAGGGTGCTGGGACCAGGCAATCTTTGTTGCCAGTTTAAATGTTTTCCAGTTTTCCCAGATTGCAGCGGGGAGACCTTGCATTCAAGGCCCACCTGGGCTATTCATTAAACCCTGTCTCAGCAACAACAAAACAACAACAATGATAAATCGAATGTCTCCCACTCTGTCCCAGCCCATGCCTCAGTTATGAATCAGTTCATTAGGAAGTGATGAGTGGGGGTGGTGGAGAGATGGCTCAGTGGTTAGGAGCCCTGCCTGCTCTTCTGGAGGACCTGGGTTCCAATCCCAGGCATGGCAGCTGACAACTGTGTGTACCTCCATGATCCATCACCCTCACACAGACATACAGGCCTAACACCAATGCAGATAAAATTTTAAAAATTTAAAAAAATAAGTAGTAAATGGAGGACTTAGCCGTGTCCCGGGTACACAGTATGTTTGGGGACTGAACATGTGAAATGCACAGGAGGACTTAGCCGTGTCCTATGTACACTGTATGTTCTGGGGACTGAACATGTGAAATGCCCGTAAGGCCCATGTGCCATTCTCCACCCAGAGGCAGCCGTGTTAGGGTCTTCTCATCCTCTTCTCTGCTGAGGCTGAGGAGGTTGTCTGGGGTGCTCCCTTTGTTTTCCTGCCCACGTCTGCAGCCACGGGGGCCCCTTCAGAGCGGCCTTTCTCTCCTGCGTTCCCTCCTCCATCCAGCCTCGGATGGCTCCTCACAGGGTCTGTCTGTCCAGTGGCTGGTAGAGTTGCTGCGTCCACCTCCTTCCCTCTCTGGTCACAAACATCTATCACACAGCTCTTTGCTGGCTCCTCCTGCCTGCCCGTCTGTGGGTCCCCAATTACAGCTGTCACAGCTTCCTTCACCCCCGACTGCCTGCAAGGTGCACCCCCCTCCCCACAGCGGACCAGCCCGCTCTAGCGGTTCTGTGGCCCTGGATCCCTTTAGGGATTAGAAAGGCTGACACCCCACCCCCACCCCACCTTCCCCCCCCGGGATGTAGAAGCCTGAGTGTCTGTACAGATGCCAGCTTCCTCAGCCTCAGCCTCTGGCACGCTGTCCTTGCCAGCCTGCTGTGCTGGCTGGCTGCCTGGCACAGAGCGCTCGGCACCTCTGATTTCTCAGCCTTTCTGGACATCGTTAGGTTTGTGAGGTTAACGCCTGCCCTCTGCCCTCGGCCCCGACACTCTGGCAGCAGCTCCATCCGTCCTCACTGAACCCACAGCTTGTGTAGGGCCCTTTCCCTGGTGTGCTGAGACCTGTCTCTACCTCGCCTTCTAGGCTTCTAGGTCACCTTTTGTCATTGTCATTCATTCATTCAGCATTCAGCATTTCTGCCATTCACTTAGCTTTCGGAACATCCCCTGAGCATGGAAGCCATGTTCTCACTTACAGGGATGAACAAGACAGACATGGCCCTGCCAGGGTGTCCAGTCCAGGGGAGACTCAAAACAAACAAAATCAGGGCTGGGATCCAGTTCAGTGGGCAGGCACCGGCCAACCCCGTGCAAAGCTCGCGTTTGCACCCCCACTCAGACACATCGGCTCTCACATCGCACACTTTCTCTTGTGCACACGCATGCACGCACACTCTTTCAAGCACTTACGCAAACGCAAATACGAACTGGGCTTGCTGTGTGGCTTTGTGGGTAAAGGTGCTTGCCAACCAACAATCGGGGTTCAATCCTGGAACCCATATGGTGGGTGGAGAGAACCAGCTCCTTCAAATTGTCCCTGACCTCCATATATGACCTATGGTGTTTACACACACACACATGTGCATGCATGTACGCACACACAAATGGAATGAAAATAATTTAAGGTCAGAATGTCACTCTGGAAGCGCAGAAGGCATTCCTCTTCAGAAAGGACGTTGAAGCCCCTCAGCCATATCGCCCTGAAGGCCGGTGAGCGAGCAGGCTGCTTGATTCAGCTCTTACCATACTGGTTTCTGGGATTGCTGCTGGTGGCCCCCGTTTGTTTTTCCCATTGCTGGGAACTGAATCCAGGGTCTGTCCGTGCTAGGCAAGGGCTCTGTCAAGGACACCCTGGACGCCTCTCCTTCATCCTAAGATCCCCGACAGCGAGGCTGAGGCAGGAGGATTGTGAGGTTGACCCACTGAGATCCTGTCTTCAAGTAAAAGGATCAGATTTAGGGGCTGTAGTTCGGTGAAAGAAGCTTTGGGTTCAGTTCCCTGTATTGCCGAAAAAAACAACCCAAATGAAAAGCACTTGCTGTGATGGCTCACATCTGTGAACCCAGCACTTGGGAGACCCAAGCAGGAGGATTGCTCGGAGTTTGAAGGCAGCCTGGATGGCTATACGGTGAGACCTTGTCTCAAAGACAAACAAGCAAACATAACAAGCAAGCTGTGCTAATTATCAACCCGCTGGTTCACTTGGTCTCCGTCTAGCCTTGCAATGTGCTTCTGTCCCCTAAACCCTTCTGATCATTTCCAGTTACGACACCTTGCCCCCCCCCCCGCCTCTTTCCTGTGTGTGACATCCTGTGACAGCCACATCTCTCTATCGCCACTGCCCAGACACACTTCCGTCCCCAGTCCCACCATCTGTCCTCATACACTAGCTGGGCTCTGCCTCCGATTGCTCCCTGGCCTGGGGAAGGTGTCTCGTAGGGGAGGTGGAGGGTCAGTGTAGGCTGAAGGCCTGGTGGGATTCGGGTGGAAGTGAGAGCCAGGCCTGTGGCTATGTGGCATACTGTGTGGTTAGATGGATTGAACCATGGCTTCCAGGAGCAGAGCCAGGCCGCTGTCTGGCAGGTGATTTGGGATTTGAGAGTTGCAGGTTCAGCCAGGTTGGGTCCTAGTGATGCTAAAGGAGAGGAGGATGCCCGGGGCATTTGGGAAGCAGAATTGACAGGACTTGGCAGGTGGATCAGAGAGAATGAAGAGAGGATGAGGCACCGGTGGCCCCAAGCTGGCCAGGAAACCAGTGACGGATGGACGGGTGCATCTTGGTGCTGCCCTGTCCCCTCTTCCGGAGTTACCTCCCTGTGTCTGTACCCCTCACTTCTCTCCCAACAGCCCCATGCAGCGCTCCCTCCTTCACAAACAAGCAAGCCTCCGGCTTGTTGCTCCTACTGTAGTCAAGGTGATTGCCACAGCAGTTGACATCAGCACTCCGGTCCCGAAGGAGCCTGTCACCCTCCAGCCTGCCTACGGCAAGGAGCAGAAAGGAGGCAGCTGGACACACACTCCGATCTGAGAACTGGGCGGGGCCAGAAAGGGCCGGTGGCCAAAGAGGAGAGGCTGGAAAGGGAGGCGGGCCTTCAGGGGGCCTCCTCTCTTGGCACCTGAGGCTCCAGCCCACTTGGTTCCCTGACGTCGGCGGGAGTGGTGGCAGTGGCAACAGCTGTAGCGCCTGGGCTATGGCAGAGGACGGGCCACCGAAGCAGCAGCTGGACATGCCTCTGGTTCTAGACCAGGACCTGACCAAGCAGATGCGGCTACGAGTCGAGAGCCTGAAACAGCGTGGGGAGAAGCGGCAGGATGGCGAGAAGCTGCTCCGGCCGGCCGAGTCTGTGTACCGTCTCGACTTCATCCAGCAACAGAAGCTGCAGTTTGACCGCTGGGATGTGGTCCTGGATAAGCCGGGCAAGGTCACCATCACGGGCACCTCGCAGAACTGGACGCCTGACCTCACCAACCTCATGACGCGCCAGCTGCTGGACCCTGCTGCCATCTTCTGGCGCAAGGAAGACTCCGACGTCATGGATTGGAATGAGGCTGATGCCCTGGAGTTTGGGGAGCGCCTGTCTGACCTGGCCAAAATCCGCAAGGTCATGTATTTCCTTATTACCTTTGGCGAGGGCGTGGAGCCCGCCAACCTCAAGGCCTCTGTGGTGTTCAACCAGCTCTGACGGCAGCCCTGGCGACCCTGCCTCTGGCCCACAATTCCCCCTTGCCTGAACCTCTTGCCACATGTCTATTTTGGGGACATTCTTCTAACATTCTCCTTCTGTGCTTGACTTGGCTAAAGGTCCCCTTTCCTGGTGCTAGTGCTGCAGCTCACAGGGCTGACCCATGGCTCCATAGTCTAGAAGCTGGACACTGCTACTGTAGACAATAGAGGCCTTTTGGGTTCATGTGGCCAGAATGATGGACTTCTTGGGCATCTGCCACCTCTGCTTCATTGTGGTGGACAGAGAGGGACTGAGAAACCAAAAGGCTAACCAAGAGATCCAAATAACCAACCATTGGATTTCCTACAGGGATGGAAGACTGAGACATGACAGGAACTGCCTTCTGGGGAACCTGTCAAGAAGGCATTTGCCTGACGGCTAAAGCTGGCATCAGGAGATGGATGCCCAGTGGCACTCTGGCAGCGGGAAGGTGCTTTTCCCAGTGTCAACACCAGCCTGCTGTGATCTTAAGGCCTTCCAGGCACTGGGCAGGATTACAGCAGGGCTTGGTCTGTCTGGCAGAGGGTGGCTGGCTTTGCAGGTCTCACCCGGGTTGCTGTGGAGAAGGGAAAGAGCTTGTAGAAGCTGACCCAGCTCTAACTACCCGCACATATGTATATGTTGAGAGATAGCCTGCTATATTTGTATGGATGTGTGCCCGAGGGCTAACACTAGTCAGGAATAAGGCTGACTTTAGCTTAGTTGTTGAGCAGTTGGCACTAGGTTCTGGGCTTGGTAGAGGTGACACTCTCTGCGTCCTCCTTGGTGCAGGGCTTCCTGAACTGGGAGACTAAGGCTCAAATGGGGAAGCAGAGAACTGAGCCAGAAACACTGATGTCCCCGATAGGACGGCTGTCCTTTGCAGGTCTCTGATCAGGAACACAGGTGCTGTGTCCTGCTGTAACTTCTCTGGGCGTTTACTGGGGGTTCTACCAGAGTGGAGGCACATGGGTAAGGCTTTGGGGCAGTTATGATGTCTGATGTCTGAAGTGGATTGAATGTCTCCAGATGTCTAATACTGGACTGGCTTCAGAAGCTATCCAGGTAAACCCACTCCCCAAACCGACAGGGAAACAGAGGCACGGATATCGGCAGACTCCGTCCTGCCCCAAGCCTCATTTCCTCCACCCTGTGCATGCTGAGAGAAGCCTCACCTGCCACCTGGCATCAGTCAGAGGTACTCTGCCTCAAGGCTGCCTCATCTGAGATGCCAATGCATGGAGATCTGAAGGTAGGACCCGTCCAGTGGGTGGACTACCAGGAGCGCAAGCTCCAGCTCAGGGTCGGGATTCTGGAGGCAGGAGATAGGCTGTGTTGCTGGCTCTGGTGGCTATTGCTTGCGGAAGCACCTGCTAGTGCCTTCTAGACGCTGCTGACTCTAGAGAGCCATACCTAGACAGGGGCCCACCTTTCTGACCTCTCCCTACAGCTCTCAAGACCCCCTTGGTTCACGCTGCCTGTCCCCCAATTCTGTCTCACCCCGTATTCCCTGTGGGGGCTTGAGTGTCTCTGCCGTGCTTGTCACATGTCCCCAATAAAGACTTCATGCCCTCACTTCTTCAGTGTGGTGTGCCTCTGTGATGTGGTTTGTATCTCTTGCTGCAAGCCCACATCAGAAGCATTCCCTCCCTGTGGGACCTTGCAGTTCTGAGGAACTCCATCCTGCCAACCTTCAGGATGATTGAGCGGTGAGGTCCCATGTCAGGACGGGGTTGCATCTGTCTCATCTGTCTTAGGTCTCCTGGCTGCCCTGCAGGGACCAACCCAGCCACTGGGGTATGAAAGAGCCAACAGAGGCTGTGCTTGGGAGTGGAATGGGTGAGACTGACACCGGTTTAGACTGGTCTTGGTCACTGCTTGGGTGTGTCCTCTAGGAGTCCCTGACCCTCTCCTGGGCTTGGCCTTCCAGGTTAGTCCCTGGTTTTAGGTCACCTCTTCAGAACTATGTCCTCTGACCCTGGCACTGGGATAGCTGGGGAAACCGGCATCTTAGAGCCCCACCTCATGGCTCAGCCCTCCTCATCTCCCGCGTCCACTCATTTTTGGATAGGGACAATTGATACCCATGGGAGGAGGCCTCCATCCTGAAACATGGAGGGGTGGACTGGGAATGGGATTCTGAGCCCTTGGACCTTTGATCCCGCAGCTGTGACCTCCTGTGATGGGCTTGGAAAATACGTTCTTCCACCTCTTTTGAGGACCCATGCGTATTAGGATGGCTTCCTACAGAGAGACGTGTCAGAGGGCTCTGTGGGTTGGCTTGCTAGCTTCAGAGCACTCCGGAATTCTCCCCTCAGCTTCTGTCACCTGGCTCCCATGTCTCATAGCGTCCAGAGGTGTTTCCCTATGCTCTCTCCCCCTGGTTCAGGAGCCTCTGTGTTCCCACGTGCCCCTCCCAAACTACCTCCTTCCATTTTATCCAGTCAGCCGTGAAGCTGGCCTCTGAGAAAGGCAAAGTCCAGGAGAAGAATCCAGCTTCCAGCCCCTGTGAACTGCAGTGGTCTGGCCCTGTCCCCAGGTGTACACACACGTGGATATAACCCATTCGCCACGAAAACCACTGAGAATCGTGGAACCAGAAGTCCTGCTGTTCTGAAGCCTCTGCCTGGCAGAGAGCCAGTGTCTGTAGCTCCAGGGCCCTGTTCTGCCTGCCAGTGATTGGCTCTGTGGCCCCAGGCAGCCTCTCTAGGTTGTTTTCTACCTGGTAGTCAGCAGTGCCTCCCTTACAGGTGCTGGAAGGTCACACGGAGAATGTCGGCGGAGCTAAGACCCCAGAAGTCACTTGTATGTCAATAGCTTCCTACAGACACTGTAGATTATCTTGGGAGAAGGGTTGGGAGAAGTTATTCACAGAACAAGAACTTAAGGTTCAGAGAGGTAAACAGCATTGCCTGCAACTGCACAGCCGGCCAATGTTGATGGCAGTAGGTGTTGGGGCGGGATCGGCAGGTGCCAGGCCAGGCTCTTGGCCCCAGAGAGTGGTAATGGACCGAGTTTTTTCTCATTATTATTAGGCTCAGATGTCTGACCATCACACTGTGCCTTAGAGAGTGGAGGACCAGAGTTCTCTTGCCCTGGCCCAAGCAGTGGTGCCCGTCCTGGGCACACAGGGATGGTTGGATGATACGTGACTGCCTGACCTCTCCAGTCTCTGGGTCTGAGGCCTGGGGAATCTGAAACCAGAAGCCGAGACTCGAGGAATACCACCGTGGAGGCGGGGGGCTGCTAGTGGAGCCACAGGGAATCCCCCTGGCGACCCCCACCCTGGCGTTTCACCAGGGTTGCTCAGAAGTGCCCTAAGGTAGCCCTTGGGATCTAAGGCGGACATCTGAGCGGCTCCTGCTTGTCTCCTGTTCTTCACACTCATTTTCACACTTGATCACACTACACTCAGGTCCTGGGCAGTGTCACCCTTCCTGGGCTCTTGACCCCTAAACGCAGTATAGACAGGTGCCGCTCAAGGGGAATTCTGGTCAGGCTCTTTAGTCTGAGACGTGCTTAGGAAACCCAACACCAGAGGGCGCTGTAGGGTGTTGCTCAGTGTGGCTCACACACACAGATGCATAGACACACAGACACACATGCACTTGAGGTGGGTAGTGTTGGAGGGTGTTTTGTTTTGTTTTGTTTTTGTTTTCAAGACAAGGTATCTCTGTGTAGTGCTGGCTGTCCTGGAACTCATGCTGGCCATGGACCTCGAACTCACAGAGATCTGCCTGCCTCTGTCTCCGTCTCCTGACTGCTGGGATTAAAGGCGTGCACCTCCACTGCCAAATACGTTGGAGGTTATTAATGACTCTGGGCGGGAGATTTTCTCAGGGACTGTCTGCCTCCCTGTCCCTAAGTTCTCAGACTGATGTGTCTGCAGATACCACAGCCCTCCACAGTGTACAAAGTTCCTCGAGGCCATCTGTTATCATAACAGCCCTGGAGGTGAGGGAAGGCAACTTGGAGGCCTTGCTGTGACCAGCATTCATATTGGTGCTGGGCCAGGCCCTGTACTGGGTGCTGGGAATCCGAGGAGGAACACGTTTGGCCGTAGCCCCATTAAGGAAATCCCTAGTTCTGGGGAGCCAGGAGGGGTTGCCCAGCTGCCAAGGGTTAGCCTCTCGGGGGTAAAGGAAGGAGGGTGCAGGTCGAGCCAGGCACACAGGATGTGCCTTGGGGCATCCTGAGATGTTGTGCAGTTGTAGTGGATTTTGGTGGAGCCTACAGAGAGGAGATGTTGGGGCAGGAGGTGAGGAGGTCAGCAGATTCCCAGGTCATGCCCTGGCGTCCCCAGTGGCATATAGGGACCACAGAGCATCCTTCAGAACAGCCGCCCTCGGTCTTACCACATCTTACACCTCTCACCTCCCCACATGAGTTCATCCGCAGATGCTGATGGGTACAAACCTAAAGGAGAAGGAATCGTATGAAAGATACGGAGTTATAGGGCTGGAGAGATGACTCGATGGTTAAGAGAGCTTGTTGCTCTTCCAGAGGACCTGAGTTCAGTTCCCAGCACCCACGTGGTGGCTCACAACCATCTGTACCTCCTGGCCTCTGCAGGCACCAGGCATGCAAGTACACAGAGACATACATACAGGCAACATACCCATACATGTTAACTTTTAAATATGTATAGTAAATATATTTACTCTTAAAGTAATCCAAACAATGTTTGGAATCCAAAATTCTAGATTTGATGTTTTTTTTGGTATTTATATATTTGTTTTACTTGTTGAGCATTTTAAATCTGAAAACCCCAAACCCGCAGATCCAAATTCCCAAATCTTCTGAACATCACGTCTGTGCTCAAAACATTTCAGATTTGGGGGTCTCGCTTTTTCGATTAGGGCTGCCTACCTTGAATCATTAAATACACAGAGCAGTCTCAAAGACAGACACTTGTCCGTTTGCTTAAAGAGAAAAGTCCTGCATAACCGTGGCTCAGTTGCCCGTGCTGCTTTTCATTTTCTCTTGCAATTTATTTGTTGAAGAAACTAGGTCATTTGTTATGTGGATTTCTCACTGGGTGGATTTTGCTGGCTGTGTCCTCACGGGGACGTTTGGCGTGTTCTCTGGCTCCTGCGCTTCTGTAAGCCGGGATTTGTCCCAGTGGCTTGGTAAGATTCACGCAGAAGACACATTTTGTCCTCCTCTCTCTCTCTCTCTCTCTCTCTCTCTCTCTCTCTCTCTCTCTCAAGTGACCATTGTATAATGGTTTTCAGACAGGGTTCCTTATATGAAGCCTGCTTAGAATGTGGCATGCAGCCATGTGGAAATTTCTGACTGTCTTTCCTCCACCTCGCAAATTCTGGGATGCCGGGCATGAGAAACCACAACGGGATTATTTTGTGCTGGGGATCCAACCCAGGCTTCCTACATGTTAGGCAAGCACTCGCCAGTGAGCCGCATTCGTAGCCCTTATTAGTCCCTTGAAACAGGGTCTAGCCCAGGCAGGCCTAGAATTCATCTTCCTGTCTCAAACTCCCCAATCTCTGCCCTACAGCTCAGTGCATCCATTAATTCTTCAATGGCTTCAGAATAAAAGGGACTGGATTTCATCCTTTCTTCCACACTATTGCCTGGGTTATGTTTTCAGACAGAGACCCCCTTCCCTTGCTGTGCAGAGAAAGGCAGGGTAATGCTTCGTTCTCTCTCTTTGTATTTCCCATCTTGAGAAGTAGGTCGCTTCGCTGCCCTTCTCCGGTAGTGGCTGTTCTGAGTCTATGACCTCATGAGCTTGAACACACTCACTGCTCAGGGCATGACAGTCCCTGCCTAAAGCTCAGGCCATCTATCTGTGGCAGCTTCCCGAGTCTTCTGGCCTAGATAGGGAGGCTGGGGACCTCCTTGACTGGTGATGTAGCCGGATGCCCAGCAGGCAACACAGAGACCAAGCAGCAAAAGCTACTGTGAACCCACCCTATGCCAATTCTAATGGCTGTGATGCAGGAGGGGAAACTGAGGCCACCAGGGATCCTGACTCTGGATCTCCGGCCTGGGAGTCTCATTATCTGCTTCTTGGACGACCGTGGGCTCAGGGCCAAACCCTGCAGTTGACTAATGATCCTCCCAGGTCCCCGCTTATCTCTCATGCCCTCTGAGGGCTCCTCCTCCTTCCATTGCTGTCCAGAGTACCCAGTGCAGAGTCTCAGGGGAGGAGGCGTGGCTCTCCGCCGTTGGGTACAATTCTGTATCCCTGGGCAGTTTCTCTGGACCTCAGCTTACCCATCTGTGCAGTGGGATGACCCCACCTTGCATAGGCCCCATTTTTTTTTTTTTGTATTCAGTGTTCTGTCTTTAGAGAAAGCTAGAGAGACAATGCAAGGGGTTAGGACAGAGGTGAAAGCTCACAGAATTGGGTGAAGGCAGAGGTAAAGAGGGAAAAGGAAGCAACTGGCAATACTGGACCATGCCTGGTTACAGACCTAGGCCCAGGTTGCTAAGCCCGTGTTGGAATCCTGCCTGTGGCAGTCTTGGCTAGCGACTTCCAGGGGCATCATCCTGCATAGCCTTGGGTGGGGGGGGGGGTGTAACATAGTAGACAG